ATTTCAAATTGAGCATGTTGGAAACTCAGCTCATTCCCTTGTGTTTTCCGGCTTCCTAGGTCAGTGAACCCTACTGCCATGTTAATAGTCACAGAGTAAGGAGCCTCTTGGTTATCACCTCCCCTCTTCCAGTTATCAGTCCAAGAGCAGTAGGTGATCAAATAACTCTTGATCTTGCTTCTCAGATGTGTCTTCACTGTTTCTATCTCAGTGCTGGCCCTAGTTCTATTTATGTTCCCCTAATTTGAGTAGTAACCCTTTCTGTGATTGTCCCAAAACAGATCCCCTTGCTTAAAGCACATCAGTGGTTCTTTATGGCTTATAATATTTAAACTCTTCAACTTCCAACTTGTACAAGTACTCTTGTACTTAAAACTTGTCACCTGACTCCTTTTCAGAATTATTAATTAAATAATTAAATTTTTATTATCTCTTCTCCATACTCATCTGTAATACTTTCTGAGTGAGACTTAATCATGCTGTGATGAAGTTGTTATTTTCTTTACCCATTAAAATATGGAACCTTTGAGGGCTATACAGTTTTGCATACTCAACACCCTGGTTCTAATACGTGACTTCAAAATATTTGAAGCAAAATATTTGTGCATAGGGAGTTAATTTGGAGGTGATTGTTTTTTAAGTCAACTCTAGAGTTTTTTTGGTGCAGCTGTGTTTACTGTGGAATCAAAGGTTTAGTCATGGATTAAGCACTTTTTTAGTCCTACTATGATTACTAAGAACTCTGGGTAACCTCCATTTTTGCCAAAGATATATTTCAGTAAAATATTCTTTAAAGCAAAATCTTTGAAGTGAGTCCTGTTTTAGTAGATGTTATGGAAATAGAGCTTTGTGTGGTAGGGGGAAGATCTCCCAAAAGAATAAGCTTTGGGAAATAAAAAACAATGATTAACAGCCGTATGATTCCCACGGTACACCCACATTATTAAGTTTACCAATTGTTTCTTTACCTAAAATTTCACTTTTCCTTTCTTGAACTTTACATAATAATTTTACATAAACAGCCCTTCTGGGAAACCTTGATTCCACACTTTTAGTTTCTAGAAGTTTTTCTTCTTTAAGAGTGAGGTGGCAAGTGATATAAAAATGAACAAAAGCCTCTGTGTCCACCTTAGAAATGGATATATTTTATTGGTTAATGGATAAATTTTTCCTCTAAATGTGACTTTCAAATTTTGTCATTATGTATTTTATTCCATCTTGAGTAGGCATTTTGTTTTTCAAGTAAATTGGGAATGACATATATTCTTTTATCTTCTCTGTTTCAAGTTTTTTAAAAAGTCTTAAGTTCTGTATATGAAGTTGTTTTCTGTTGCATTTTTTTCTTCCCCCCTCAGAGCTGACTGCTTGGGACTTGTGACTACTGTCTAAGATATGAAAGATACTAGAAGGTAGAAGCTACTGCAGAAACGGAGAAATTATGTTGCCAAAGACAGTGACTTGCTTTGAGAGCTCTGTAATATTTAAAAATTCATTTTGCTCTCAAACTTGTAAATAGTTGATTGAAGGTGTGTGTCTTATGTATGTATGTGTGCCTATAATGTAATGTTTGATTTCTTATAGCTTTTCTTAAAAAGCATTCTCAAGAGTATGTAATAAATTTTAAACAATGTTTCTAATGAGAGGAGATTACTATGTTGGAGCAGCTAAGGATGGCCTGGTTAAGGAAGTGGTAATTAAGAAGCAATTTAAGGATGGGTAGGAGCTGTGTAGGTGGAGGGAAGGTCAAGACATTCCAGTCACAGTAACTGACCAGTGGGTTAGAATTGAAAATGAACGACTTTCACTTAAAAGGAAGAAGTCAGACCTAGGTATAATGTAGAGTTCACATCGTTTATTAAATAGAAAATAAGATTAAATTGCTAAGGATACATCAGATTATGAAGAAATTCATTGCTCTATCTCTCACTGCCCCTCTAGCTGGCTCATGCCCCCCCCAGCCTTCCACTTGTCCCACATAATATTGTACTCTTTGGGTTGTTATTTGTTTGTGCATTACATCTTTTAATTTCCAAGCTACCCAGTGTCCTCCTGTCTAAAAAGATAAAGTGTATCTTCTGTAAATAGAACATAGTTGCAAGGTTTTTTGTTTTTGTTTTGGTACTGGGGATGGAACTTGGGACCTTGCGTCACTACTGAACTAAATCCCCAACCCAACAATTTTTTATTATAGTTATTTCATTTACATTTTATGTAATCTGATGTGGTTGAAGTTGCTGGTCCCATGTTGCCATTTGTTTTCTGTATGTCTCATGCTTTTTTTTTTCCTCCTTCCCATTTACTGCTTTCTTTTGTTTAATGTATCTACCATCTTAGGCATGGTGTTGAATTTAACATTTTAAAGTTATTTTCACACAGACAACACATGTAGATGTACACACGTTTGCATGAACGTGTTTTTCTTAGTGGTTGCTCTAGGGATTACAGTTTGCATTTCAGTTTATAACAATTTGATCCCAGTAAAATATAGTTACCATCTAGATTATGATTTTTTAAAATCTTCTCAATATAGTTGCATTAGCTATATTATTCTTTTTGTAAGTTGCCTGGTTATAATCTGTAGATTCTTTCTCCAGAACAATTAGAAGCTCTTGAATTCTGTGTTAAATTTTTTGTTCTTTCATTTCTTGGCCTGGTTCATTGTGACTTTTGGCATGAACAGCCTAGTGCAGTGATGGCAAACCTTTTAGGGCTTTCAATGATAACAAACAAACAGCTGGTTACAGCACACATGCCTCCACTGGGTTAGTGGCTGCGCAGTTACTGGTTAGAGATTGTATTCAAATAATTGAGTTTGTAAGGCTTCCATCATTTTTGATGATCATTCTCTATGTGAGTTAAAAAATTCATTCAAAATTTAGACAGTTTTCAAGTAGGCCTTGCTTTTATTTTTCTATGACCTTCACAAGTCTCACCTGCATGTGTGCATAGCTTCTCACTCAGCTAGAAGTGAGTAAGGAATTTATTTTGCCCCTTCTCCCTCTCTCTTTTCTAGGATTTCCCTGGTAACTTCTTGTGTCTCTCATTTTCTCCCAACTGGACTGCAACCTAAGAGGGGCAGAGATGAAGGCTTTTTTACTCCTTTGTTTCCTATCAGATTTGCTGTTTTTATTGCCAGTACCAATAGGCATTGGTTTTACCTTATGTTCTAAATGATGGTAGCCCCCTCTGAAAGTAAAATTTCTGATTTCCTTGGTAACCGTGGTAAAACTATCTTCCTGAGTTGAGTCATAGTGGGGAATGATAGCATCCCCAGGCCTAGAGAATTTTAAAATGAGGAAATTTATGTATACTTTCCAGAAAAGTAGAATATATAAACAGAAGAGTAAGGGTACATGAATATTTATGTCTGCATAAATCTCTTGGGCATCTTTTTCACTAAAGGTAGTATGCACAGTCTTCTACTACATCTGTCATTGTAGCAGTTTAATAGTTTTGTTACCTTGGTTAGTGAGTCTGAAAAAATTACTCAATTTAACATAGTTGTATATGTGAAAAACAATCAGTTTTATTAGCTGTACATCATTACAGGGATGAGTCTTGGTTTATTGGCATCTGTCTTCCAAGCTAGCTACCAAAATGTGAACTGGTAAAGTATAGAAATACTTCCAGAAACAGCTTCATTTTGGAACGGACCAGAAATTGACAGTTGTGAAATTGCTAATGTTTTCTCTGTCCTCCTTTCCAGTTAAAGCTTGAGCCTGACATCAGTCAGTGTCTTTATTAAAGTAATTGAACTGTATTCTAATTCTGGTTTTGCTTCAATTATGCATTTTATAACAAGTAATAGAATGACAGTTCAATATTTTATGAAACAATTTAAAATACCAGTATTTTCTCTGTATACATGAATCCATCTCTGAAGGTGAGTTTAAAGGAACAGTCACTTATTTCTGCTCCTCTAATCTAAAAACTAGAGGCACCTTACTCTAGAATAGTTCTGCCTATCAGTCTCCTGGGCTTTTATGCACACACACACACACACACACACACACACACACACACACACGGTCTCTTAGTTCCAACCATAACACCATTTTTTCCCCCTCATTGCCAGGTATATACTTCATGTTTTGTAGCTCTTTGGATCATTATACTAACTAAAAAAAACAATATATGTATATGTGTATATATGTATGTATGTATGTATATATTTGGCCACTAGATGATATATTGGTATTTTTGATAGCCTAGTATATTGTTGGAATATATCCTCTTTATATAATCTATTGAAAGTTATCACTGAAAAATAATATGGTACTAAGTAATTATCCTAGTATTTAGTGTTTTGTTTTCAGGAAGAATGAGCCTAACTTTAAAACTTTCCAAAGGGAAAAGTGTTTTTGTGATCTCTACAGATCTATGCCATTTTTAGTGTGCCATGTTTTAACTTTTAATAAAACTTAGCAAGTCAGCCCTGTCATGCAATTAAACTCCTAGTTTTTCATGTGTCTTGGAAAACAAATGACACCAGGCTCATTTGTTTGCTGTTTTGTTTTTAAAGTTACTATTGTAGGTGAAAAAATAACAGTAGTAACAGCTCATTTCAGATATTTCTTACAAACTATGGACCAGTCCCTCACATGCTCTTGTGGTAAAATATCAATTTTTTAATAATTTCTGATTCACCAGACTGACATTTTTTGCAAAATGCAGATCAAATTATTAGAAAAGTAAAATTTAACAAAGAATACAGGTCCTAATTATCATATTCATAAATTTAAAATTATTTTGTCAAGTTGATATTAAACATTCTGAATACTCTTGATCTTGGTATTTATCTTATTGCTGCACTGAAAAATATAGTTCATGGACTCGTAATAAATAATAGTCCAGATCAGAAATGGTCTACAGACCATACTTTTATATAACATGTCCATAGCCTGCTGTTTGTAGTGTTTAATATTATTTTAGAATCCTCTTGGCCATTATAATTAATAGCTGTTATCCTTAAAAAATATTTTCATATGTTTCCTTTTCAGAACCGAGAGCTCCAGATCATGAGAAAGCTAGATCACTGTAACATAGTCCGATTACGTTACTTCTTCTACTCCAGTGGTGAGAAGGTAGGTGTGACAGAAAATATGTACTAAATATTGTGATGACTTGTTATTCTTCTAGATTAACCCCTTTCCTCCTCTCTTGCAACAGAATAGTTCTGCTAATCAAATGAAAGAATTCATGCCATAAGCCCCAGTGATTTTTGAGCCCAAGATACAGTCATTGAATAACATTAGTTATGCTAGGAAATTAATTTTTGAGAATTTATTCTTTTTTGAGCATCTATTTGGTTCTTAAGCAAATTTATTTAATATTTCTCTTTGCCGTATGTGCTTATGTAAACCTCTGAAATTTTATCTGCTTATTGAAGAGAAGAATATTGTAATTTTGGTCAAACGGAAAAATTTTTCCTTAGAAGAGGAAAGGTGAGGACTTCAGTAGTACTAGAATGAGGATTAAATGTGGGGTTAAATGTGGGAAAGCAAATTTGTGTTTTGCCAATGAGAAAGTTGGAAAAAGTGTAGTAGTATTATAAGCTTTGTTATAAGTGGTTACTGTTGCTGATCACATTTAATTATGTGGAAGTAAAGGATAGCAGAATATTTGTATTGAAGACCCCCATACATCATCTTTCCTCCCTTCAGCTTTCTCTTCAGAAGGTGCTGTATAGTACGATATACTTCTGGAGGTGGAAGCAAAGAAAACCAGTTTCTTCTGCCTGACCTTGGTCTACTATATTTCTTTTTGCCTCTTTCTGCCTCTTCTCCCAATTTCCATCTTCTTAGAGCAAGTGTATGCGTACCTGTATGTTTTCTTGCTTCCTTCCCTGGTTTGGGGTGAGGGATCAAGGCAAGTAACAAATTACTTCATTATTTTTGGCAAAATTAATGCAACCATAAAAAGTTCACTTCATTATTGGATTTCAGATTTCATACACGTAATATCTAATATTCTTAGATCCATAGCACCTGTTGATTTCTAGCCTAGTGTCCTTTTTTACTCCACTTAACTTTTCTTATTGTAACAGTTTTTAATCCTTTTATTGAATGCTATTTAAATTTCCTTAGAAATCTCTCCCATAACAGAGCTTGTAATTTTGGAGGATATCTGTGCATTTAAGCAAGATGTTTAAGTCTGTGCCTGCAGATCTAATTATGGTGTATATAATTAATGTGTTTCAGCTAATACATTTTAACAACCATAATGAGAAAATTGGTCTTTTATTCATGCTTGTTTCTCAGTTTTATTTGGAAGATATGCATAATCAAGCATAGTCTCCCACTGGTCCTTAGAAGGAATGGTACCATTTTCCCCAACTTCATACAACCTTCTATATGGGTACTATCAAAAGAACAATGTTTATATAAGGAATGAATTCACTTTGCCATCTTTGCTATTTAAAATTTCTTACACAAGTGGGAGGGAGAGCTTCTGTTTACCAAGCAATCTGTAATGAACCACAAAATATTTTTACATAAAAGGTTACTTACAAAAATTTCTCTTTAAGAAAACTATTACTTGATTACAATAAAAGGAACCAATTAACATAACATGCTTTGTTTTTTAATACTATATCCTTTAGACTCTTAGGGATCTGCAGAGTGAGCTACAATTTAGAAAAGTCTGTTGCTCTCACATTCCAGCTCTGCCAAATATCAAAATATGGAAAAATTACTATTCTACAGAATACCTGAAATTCACAAAATTCTAAATCCAGACCTTCAGAACACTCAAAAAACCTGTTTTTGCAGAAAAACGAATAATGAGGCAGCCAGACAAGCGATTTAAAGAGGAAAAAGTACTACTTCTCTGAAATAAGTCAGAGGTACTAAAATTTATTGAGAAATCTAGAGTATACTGCCTACAAAATGTTCCAGTTAGACTAATTACAGTAGCTCACAACTCCAGTCTGTATCTTAGCTTAATTAGTCCTAGTTAAACTGACTATCCTTTCCCTCAATTACAAGGTAAAACCTGATAATCCCTAATCTCCTAAGAGTCTTTAACAGGTACAGTAAAAAAGGTCACCAAAACAAATGTGTTATTCAGCCAAACTAAGATTAATGAAAATATTTGCCTAAAACTTACAGAAATCCTACTCTGCCTCCACCTAGAGCTGAAAAGTGCTTGCAGATAAAAGTGATTGATGGTAGTTAGCCAAATTCTAAATTCTTATAAATTCCAGAATTCTAAAATTAAAATCTTGTAAGGGTATTGTAGAGTAAAACAATATTACATACTATACATATTATAAGGCAATAGGGAAAGTTAATAATGTTAGAAGTTATTATGTATATACATATGCAAACATGGACAGAATAAGATAATGTAGAAATCAAAGGTCAGTATACTAACACTGAAGAAATTTTTATTGTTTTAAATTTCCAAAAAAGGAGTAATAAAGACCCAGAGAGAAAGCATCACCAAGAAAGAATGAGGAAGACTCAAGCCAGATGGTAATTTGCAAAGATTTAGAGGGAATCAGAGATCCCAAAAAAGAGAGTAGACACTATAAAAGAGGTACAGAGACTCAGAGTGGAACTAACCAAGAGAGAAAGGGAGGGTAGAGCAGACAGAGAGGAAAAAGAGACAAGAGACAGAATGGTAGAGAGAAATGAAATCTGAAGAGAGGGATGACAGATCACAAGAAAGAGATAAAAGCTCAAAGGCAGAAATACAGAAACCCAGAAAGGAAGACAAGAACTGAAGAGAAAGGAGAGTGAAGGGCCAGAGAAAGACTAGTAGAAAATGACAGGGAAAGAATCACAGAAAACTGTAAAGAAAGAGTATTTTAAAAAAATTCCCATACCCATTTGGGTCACCCATTCAGAAACCTAAGCAAGCTTTTCATCTCTGTAATCTTGAAACACAACTCTTACTCTTTCTCATAGTGACCTCAAGTTATCCCCTCACTGTCTCCTCACAGCCTGCTTTAGGCTCATGTTCCTATCACTGATCTTCCTAAAGCTCTCCCCTGTGCCCTCTGTAACCCAAAGAAACTTTCTGATGACCCCAGTCTCTTCATGGAGAGTTCTTTTTACTGCCTCACCCTAAACAGAAACCTAGATCTTAAAGGTGCGGGTTTCCTTGTAGCCCTCTCAAATGCAAATTTTAGAAACAGAAGGCAATACTGTCTGTCAAATTACTGATCTTTCATAGTCCTAGCCTCAAACAACTCTTAGTTTTCTCCCTCCTCAAACTCCATATGACTACATACCCTGTCTTCCCCACCTTCTCAGTATCTCTCTACTTAGAGGCTCACCTTATATGAAACCATACAAGTATCTGTCTGCTGGTTATCTCTACTTGCATGCCTCATGGCCCATCTCAAACTAATATTTCATTTTCCAAAACAAACATATATTATATAAATACACGTATTTAATGTTTCTGCTAGAAAAATGCCTGCCAAATATAGAATGGCTACTTTCACAAATAAATCATCTTTAAGGATTTGTAAGAATCTCGTAGACATTTAGACCCAAGTAGAAATCTAGTCCTGGAGGGTCAGCTCTATACTCAGAACTGAACCCATCTCCTAGGGCTAAAATCAGTTTGCTACATGGTCTCTTGAATGATGTATTTAGTCCTGCCAGAACAATTCAGAAGTGAATACCAAAAGTGAGACAAGAAGATCTTTGCACAGTGGCAGTATCATAGCCAATGAGGTCAGTGAGACAAGAAAACATGATCTTTTTGGTTGGTGGAAGATTATGGGTGGGAAATCTTGAACCTGTGTGTTTTTATATTTTTTCAGAATACTTTAAGAAAATTTTATATTATTTATTATTACACGTTTGCAATTCATGTAGCTTATAGTCATCTTGGGGAGTGGGTACATGCACATATTATAGCTTTTCCTTTCTAATTCCCTCCCCCCCCAGTTCAATTTTTTTCCTTTTTTTAAAAATAAAGATCGTTATTTTCAGCAATATATCCTGCTTTCCCTCTATTTTGTTTTGTTCTATTTAATTTTTAACAGAGCTATCCAAAACTAAAAGAAGTCTGTTACTTACTCTGGAAAATTTATGATGCATAAGTTCTGAGATACATAAGATACCAGAAAGCATGTCTCTTTTTCTAGACAGGGTTCACTGTCCCTGCTGTAACCTCTGTCAATGACTTCTCTGTATCTGTAAGAATGTTTAAGATAAATAGGAACCTGTGAGCAGCAGTGAAAAAAATCATCCTTTGAGGTAATCATGTCAAAGTCTGTCAGCTGTAACCACCAAGGCAGCGTTAGCATGATTCTTTGTAATTTTATTATCTTACGGAATCTTCATCTGGTGTATTATTATGGCAATACTAGTCTCATTGACCAACAAGTAACCTTGACTAAGAAGTAACCCCCAACCTCTTCTCTCTCTCCTCCTAGTCCTCCTCCTCAAGTGGAAGAGATAATAGTCATAAATATATGCACCAAATACTAATACCCCCAACTATATAAAGCAAATATTAAGGGACATGAAAAACCAAATAAGCACTAATACAGTTGTAGTGGGGGATTTAAGTATTCCACTGTCAAAAATAGATCATCTAGACAAAAAAATCAACAACGAAATACTAGAACTGAACCAAGCTTTTGAACAAATGAACTTAATAGATGTCTACAGAGTGTTCCACCCCACAAAATCAGAATATACATTCTTTTTGGCTGCACATGGGTCATTCTCCAAAAAGTAGATGCACATAGAGGCCCTACTCTTAAGCAAAATTAATAGAACATATGTTTTAATACTGAATAGTTTCTGTGGTGTGAAAATATAAAAGTACAAATATGGATCAAAATGTATAATTGATATTGTGTAATAGGAAGAAAATTTCTAAAGGAGTAGGGGAAGTGGGAGGAGTAGGGAAAAACTAAGAAGGGAAAAGAAAAAAATATGAAAGGAAAAACATGAAAACAAAATCTTTGTAAATAGGGTGGAGAGGGTGAATAGAGGGCGGGGGAATGGGAAAAAATAAGAACCAAGATATGTTATGTAAAGGTACAAGATCCTAATGATTAATGTAACTATATTGTATACCTAAATTATACCAATAAACTCAGTGAAAAAAAAATCTC